GCACCCAAACTTTTAGGGCACCCTGCCCACGGGGTACGGTGCTGGTGGCCAGTGGGGCGCCTCCTGCATCATCCTGGGGTGAAAGGGCTGTGGTGGGGACATCCCCAACCCCCCTGGCGCAAGCAGATCCCCCACATCCGAGGGTGCCCGGCTGCTCCAAGCGTGCCCCCCATGATCCCGGGGCTTGGGGTTGGGGTTTCACCACCAGCAGGGTCTCCCAGCAGCTGACGCCGTGCGAACACGAGCGGCTGTACCCGCGGGCGGTGCCTCCGGGCCCCTCTCCCGTGGGCGACGGGCACGTGCCGCAGTGCGACGAGCGGGGAGGGTACCGGCCCCTGCAGTGCCACGGCAGCACCGGGCACTGCTGGTGCGTGGATGCTTCGGGGCAGGAGATCGCCGGCACCAGGACGGCGCCGGGCAGCACGCCGCCGCGCTGCGGGAACCCAGGTGAGCGCAAAGCCTCCCCAAAACATCCCAGTTCCCGCCCCAAAACATCCCAGCTCCTGGGGAGCCCCTCCAGGATCCTTTGTGAGGGTGGGGAGCACCCAGCGAGGGCTGGGGGGTGCTGGTGGATCCCCGAGCGCCCCGTGCGTGCCCGTGGGGTCCGCGGCGAGGGGTGGGGTGACGGTGTCGTTCCCCGTGCCAGAGCCCACGGAGAGGCCCCCGAGCATGTGCGAACGCTGGCGGCAGAGCCTGCTGGAGCACTACGGCGGCAGCCCCCGCGGCGACCAGTACGTCCCCCAGTGTGACACCGGGGGCCACTTCACCCCGCTGCAGTGCCACGGGGACAGCGGGTACTGCTGGTGCGTGGACGAGAGCGGCAGGGAGATCCAGGGCACGCGCTCGGAGCCCGGCAGCCCCCCGCCATGTAAGAGAAGAGCTCTGGGACTCTTCAACCCGCCCCGTGCAGCGCTTTTGGGGCGCAGAGGCGAGGCGAGGAGCCTCTTTGAGCCATCCCTGATCCTTTTTTCCCCTTCCAACCCCGCTCTGTGCCAGGTCCCCAGCGTCGCGCCGCCCAGCGTCCGGCCCTCGCCGCGGCCCGATGTGTCGCCGCCGGGCACGGGGACCTTCCTGCTGTACGCCCAGGGGCAGCAGATCGGCTACCTGCCCCTCAACGGCACGCGGCTGCAGAAGGAGGAGGCCAAGACCCTGCTCTCCCTGCATGTAAAGTCCCGAGGGCGTTAGGGTTGGGCATGGGGTGAGGGATCAGGGAGGAGGAGGAGGAGGAGGTGGCGAAGCGAGGGCGCACCGGCACCCTCGGTGCGCCCCTATCCGGAGTCGGCTGCGACCCTACTGCAAAATTTTTGCCTTTTTCCTTCCTCCGACTCCTCTTTGGAGCGGCTCCAGCCAGGCCAGACCGAGGGAGAGTCTCCAAAAGCTGGGCCACGACCCTCCCTGCGCCCTTGGGGACGCGAAGCGCCGCTTGCCAACTCTTCCCTTCCCCATCCCAGGGCCTCGGGCTGGCCGTGCCGTTGCAGGAAGCTCTCCAGGAGCCGGAGGGTTTCGGACCCATCTGGCCGTGGGTGTGCGCCCGCGGCAGCTGGCCCGAGAGCCCCGGCTGCAGGAGGAGCCCGTGGGGGATTTTCCTATTGAAAAGGGGCTCCGAGCATCGCCCCAAAAATTGTAGGGTGGCTCCCAGTGCTTGCGGCAGGATCTCACCGCGTCCCCTCCAACCCCATCAGGGCTCCATCGTGGTGGGGATCGACTACGACTGCCGGGAGAGGACGGTTTACTGGACCGATGTGGCCGGCAGGACCATAAACCGGGCCAGCCTGGAGCCCGGCGCCGAGCCGGAGACCGTCATCAGCTCAGGTGTGTCCCCACCACCCGTGTCACCCCCCCTCCCTTAGAGCCACCTCGGTGTGCCCGCCGTGGCTCTGGGGCCGTCCTGCTTCGGGGTCCTGCATCCCCCGGCGCCGTGCGGGGCCAGGAGCCACACGTCCCCTCCCGCAGGGCTCCTCAGCCCCGAGGGGCTGGCCGTGGACCACCTGCGCAGGGCCATGTTCTGGACCGACAGCGGCCTCGATAAGATCGAGCGAGCCCGGCTGGACGGCTCCGAGAGGCGGGTGCTCTTCGACACGGAGCTCGTCAACCCCCGGGCCATCGCCGTGGACCCCGTCCGAGGGTGAGACCCCATTTTTTAAATTTTTTTTTGTTTTTTTTGGGGGGGCTGCTCGAGGTGGGATGGGGGCGATTCACCTCGCCCAGCGGTGCCAAGACCCGGCCCTGCTCTCTCCCACCACACCCCCCCCCAAAAAAGGATGGGCTCTGTCCTCCCTCGCCCTCTTTTTTCTTTAAAACCTCCGGATTTGGCTAAACCTGCTGTTTCAGCATCAGCCGTATTTTGCAAGGCTTTGAAGCACGCTGCTTGAAAACACAGCCGTGCCCCCGGGGTGCTGTTGCAATACCAAACGCGCTGCTCCCGAGGCTCACCCTCATCCAGCAGCCACAGCTTGGGTCGTAAACACATTTGACATCATTCTGGCTTCACTTTTAGAGGTTTTGGGTGTTTTTTTTTCCTTCAAATCAAATAAAGAGCTATTCCAGGCAGCACAGGGGGAAAACCAAGCCTCTTAAGTGATGAGACACCCAGCGCTCTCCTCCAGCCCTCATGGGCGCGTGCCCTGTTTAATTAACCGTGTTAATTATTCCCCAAGCAACCTTTACTGGACCGACTGGAACCGGGAGGCACCGAAAATCGAAACGGCCACCGTCAACGGGGCCAACAGGAGGGTGCTGGTCAGCAAGGACATCGGGCTGCCCAACGGCCTGACTTTCGACCCCTTCTCCAAGCTGCTGTGCTGGGCAGACGCAGGTAACTTTGGGGACGGGTCACACACCGAGGAGAAAGCTGCTGTGTGCGCTTTTTATCCCCTTCCCCTGTCCTTGTCCTGAAGATTTTTGGCGTGGCGGGGCTGGGGGGCTGGCGGCACAGGTTGCTTTTACGCCTTTAGGCTGAGAAGCTGCTGGAAAAATTATTGAATGTGTTTTTTCTTTGCTTTTGTGGCCCGTGAAAAGGCACCAAGAACCTGGAGTGCACCTTCCCCGACGGGGCGGGCAGGCGCATCATCCAGAACAGCCTCAACTACCCCTTCAGCATCATCAGTTACGCCGACCACTTCTACCACACCGACTGGAGACGGTAAGAAAAGGGTCCCGCTCCCTGCAACAGCCAGAGCAGCTCCTGGGGGGAAAAATAAATGCCAAACGCTGTCCCCAGCCCGCTCCCGTGTCCTGGAACCTCACCCGGTCAGCAGCAGGCGCTTGTAAATCTTTCTTAGAGCACAGAACAGATGTTTAGAAACAAGCCCAGCTTCCTGGGAGGGACAGAAATAGTGTTTGTTTTTTTTTTTCTCTAATGAGGACTTGGCACAGGGTTCTGGATGGAGATCAGGTCAGGGAAAAGATACTGCCCTCGGTCGTTCCCTCTGCCCCACCACCCAAAGCAGCAGGGTCACCAGGAACTCGCCTCTTCCAATCCAGCTGGAAGCTCTCAAAGCTGCAGTGAAATCTTAGCAGATTACATTAAGCACTCCAGTGCTTGCCACGCTTGGACGAGGCTCTTGGGGAGGTCATCTCTGCGCTTCCATGTCACCAAAAAGCCATGCAGTGGATGAGCTGCGCGTAGATCTTGCACAGGGCAAATCTGCCTTGCTCTGCAGGTGTTCAGACAAATTATTTTAGCTGCTTCTGTCTTAAAATGCAAGTAGGTGGGGTTAAAATAAAGAACACCCAAGTAAAGCGCTTCTCTGCCACCAGGGACGGCGTGATAGCTGTCAATAAGGAAACCGGCTCCTTTACGGATGAGTATCTCCCGGAGCACCGATCGCATCTCTACGGAATAACTGCCGTCTATCCCTACTGCCCTGGAGGTAAAACCCAACAAATCCCAGCAAATCCCAACCCCTTTCCTCTTCCTGACATCTGTTAGAGGTGCTAAAGGGATCCATTTCTCTCCGCAGCAAGGAAATAACAACTGCAACTTCGAGAACCATCAATCTTTGCACCCAAAGGAACTTCAGACCCAGGAAACTGTCACTGCATACAACGAAAAGGGAGAGCCCTTAATGAAGGCCAACGAAGCAACCTACCCTCCTGCAAAAGATTATCGTGTATTTTTGAATTTATACCTCAAGTCTTTACTACTGTATTTTTTTTTAAAGCGAAAAAAAACATGGATTTATTACAAAAAAAAAAAGAAAAATGGTCCTGTGAATCCTAGGCCATTACTCTAACTCTTGCTTATGCAAGCAAATTTAAAAGGTAGCTTTCTTATTCAAATGTTTTTATTTTATTGGAAGAATAGATTTAACTTTATTAGTTTGACGATCCGACCACCAGGTCCTTTTTAACCAAAACCAAGCACAGCGGGGAAGCTTTGGATGCAGTATCTTGCTGGGTCTCGGTCACCTACAGCCCTGAAGACTGTACACGTTCAGAACAGTTTTGTGATATAGCAAAGGCATGGGAGTTGTTTTTTTTTTTCTTCCAGAAGACAATTCTGTATTTTCAACACTGCCTCAATGCATGTCTTTTAGTATTTATATTAGAAGAATATGCTAGAATCGATCTGTTCATGCTCCTTGGTTCTCCTGAGTGCCGACCCCACGGAGACCAACGCGTGTTCAGAAATACATTTTAAGTTGTAATGCTTCACTTTTTCTAGGTTACTTCAATAATTTGAATAAAAACGGTTGGTTTAAGTTTCCCTTGGGATTTCAGCATGTCAGTTTTCAGGTGGGTTGTGGAGAAGCAGCGAGCAAGCCAGGAGCAAGCTGTTCACATGGCAGGACCTCAGCAAAAGAGAAATCTCCAGAGCCTTTACGAAACACTCCCTTCTCCACACAAAGCCAAACACAATGAAAAAAAAAAATGTCATATTTGCCAACTCGGAGCTAACGAGAACAACTTGCTTCTACTTCCCAAACTTCATTTATTTAAAGAAAAACGGTAATTCACTAGAACAGTGGGAATTCAATTTCCTGTTTTCTCTCATATCAGTAAAATAATATCCATTTCGAACTGCATGCCAGAGTTGTCGAGTTGTACATAGTTCCTAGCTGTACTAAGGACACAGCAGACTAAAAGCTTTAATCCCTTTATCTCCCAACTTTCCCCAGTCTGTGGTCTGTCTTGGGATCAGCAATAATTGCCTGAACCGCTACGATCGCTTCGTTAATTTTTGTTTGCAGCTCCCGGAGCTCCTCTATGTGCAGCAGTCGCAGAATTTGGGCAGCTTCGTTGATAACAGCATCTGGGAGAGTTGCAAAAAGAACAGCGTCAGGCATTTACATCTGACCTGAGGGTCTGAAGAACAGCTGAATCTAAGTTAACACCGTGCAGCTCATTCATGCCTGCAGTTTCCATACTCGAAATGGGAGAGTCCCTTTCTCAGGAACTTTCCCTGCTGCTAGCGAGGGTGCTCTGCAAAATCTCACTCGGCTTTGTGCAGCCCGTGCAGTAATCCCCAGCCAAGCTGGGTCACTACCAAGCACTCCAAGTAGTAATTTAGTTGTACACGGGGCAAAAGTGAAGCCAGGCTAGTGGAGCCTGTGCCACCCGACTCTTGCTTACAAAAAAAACCATCAGGTCAGGCCAACTTGCACTGCCTCTGGTTAGATTTCGTTAGATCTGGTTGATTTAGGTAAATCAGGTAGCACAGAGGTCCTCTGCTGGTAGGAGTAAGGTTGTACAAGACGAGTAACAAGAGGCATTCCTTCTGGGTGCAAATGTGGCTGTCACTGAAGCATTGCTCCCAGACAATTTAATATATTCCACAGCTAAGATTTGTGCTTTTTTGTTCCATCACAAAATGCTCAAGAGTGCTCATAAATAAGCTGGGAGGGAGCAATTCTTTCCACTACAGGCTTCCAGAAGAATCATGCCTTTTTTTTTACAGTACACATTATCTACACATTTGACAGTGATCTACTCTGACAACGACAAACATAGCAATTTAGAAGTAACATCAAGAGAGCTGCTTACCTCCTGTGTCAAAACCAAGAATGTGCTTTTCTAAAGCAACAGGCAAACCCTTTAAAAAGAAAGAACATGATCAAACGAAATTAGAAGTGTCATTTTGCATGCCTGGAAAATAAAATCAAGTATTACACCAGATAACTCCGGAGGAGAGGACACAAGTTTTTTCTTTACAGACACAATCAACTTCAAAAAGCCATCACGCCTGATTGTGTGACTGCCCTGGTGTCCTGAAGCATCAAGCACGGAATATTAATAATGAAAAACCTTCATCCTTAGCAGTATTCCCCTACTTGTAGAGAGAGTCCCACTGGATACACGCTGCCCATAGTCAATCCTTAAAAGGCCAACCAGCTGTACTGCAGGAGAACACCCAATGCAGCAACATCCCCAACCAGACACATAAAAAGCTCGCACAAACTAGGCTTTCTCGGTAACTCTTGCATTTAAACAGCTGCCAGATTTCAAAGCATTGTCTGATTTGGAAGCAAGCTGCAATCAAGTGGGTTTCTCAAGCACTGAGCTGGCAGCCTCCATCAGCGTCCTCCGAAGCATTTTCTCGAGCGCTGAGCTTCGGAATAAATCTAAACGTTTGATTTTCTAAACACTTGCTCTATAAAACAGTGCAAGCAGAAGTTTTATAGTTTTATTAGCGGTTATTTATAAGCACTGCTCTATTTCTTTCACCCTCTTGAGCTGTGGAGAAGTCAGGGTGAGTGATTGTTCAGCATATTTCCACGTACACAGAAATTGATTTAAACAATGAAAATCTTAGAGGTTGCCTTTTACCAGCTACATAACTTCTCAGCATTCGCCTTGCACAACAAAAACATTCAGTTCAATCCCATTAGCTTCTACAGCGATGGGGTTACAAACCTCCTACAGAGTGAGCTTTTCTTTTAAAGGGTTATATATATATATAAATATACATCTTAATATAAAGGGGTATATATACGTATATATAAAAATATACATTTATATAAATATATACACAGAAATATGTATAAGAGGGGTATATAATCTTAAAATGCATCTGCATGAGTGCACACTCACTAAAATTTAGACAGCTTGTTGCTAAGAATACTGCTGGTGCCTCTTCAGACAGAAACCAGCAGTTTCAGACCACATGCATGCTTTAATAGCTTCATGTTTAAGACTGCAAAGACCTCATCACCACCTTAACCTGTTCCAAAGCAGCAAAGCACCGATTCAGCCAGTTCTTTGCAGCCAAACTCCCCAGGGCTGTTGCAGGCACCTCCACTGGGGTGACCCCAGTGGCACCAGAAAGCTGGTGGTGTTTTCAGCCCCCCCTTGCTTCCCCTGCCCTGCTCCCCCACCCTGATGCGAGCTCCCTTTTGGCTGTTCAGGCTGCTGTCTGCTCCCTCTGCTGGAAGCTGTCCTTGGCCGAGCAGTGCCCGTGGCCCTTTCCAGCCCTGCAGCGATCTCACAGCAGGCACTGGGCTGTCCCAGCACCACTGCTGCCACGACCAGAAAAGGAAGGTCTTCGTTTGCACCGTGGCCTCAAACAGGCAGAGAAATGAAGAGCATCTTTACAGCTGTTACCACGCAGAGCAGGTCATTTTACAGCCTCACTTTACCCTGATTTTTTATTTCAAACTGCTGCACAAAATGCTTGCGATGGGCCTGACCACGGCAGGCATCTCCTCTGTAACTGGAGCTGTCGGCAATAAAACCAGATACCCTGGGAGCGGAAGGCAAGGAGTGTCCAGATGTCAAAGCAGGGGGAAATGTACCCCCTTTATTGTGCCTTTAAACCTTTCAAATTCCCTTAAAGTGATCCTGAAGGACTGCTTCCATGGCATTTGTTGTACTTACCTAGGATACTAGGTAAGGGAAGCCTAAGACAGGCTCAGAGCCTGTTGGTACCGATCTGAATCCTGTCCAGACACCGAACTGCAAGCCATTCAAAATATTATTTCTTAAAACCTGTCTTCCTTATCTTTAAAACTGTAGCTTTGACAGCCTAAGATAAATCTCATTTTATTTTGTAAACTGCATGCACAGCAGTGCAAGTTTCCTCTGCACAGTTTCATACACATCCCTCAGCGAGGACCTTTCTATGTCTATTTTATCTTATCCCCTCCATATCTTGACATTGCCAAGAATATACAAAATGTCACGAGATGCATTAAGTCCTCAGCCATGCAGAAGTCAAACAATTATAAACCGTTTCCAGGGTCAAGACTTAATACACAGAGTGTCACTGGCTGGTATCCTGGCCATTTCCAAGCCAGCCAAAGCCAGGAGCAGAGGTTTATTTTCCCGAGCTCCTATCCCGTGACCCAGCTGTCCCCACTGGTTCAGATATTTTCTCCATTTATCCAGCGTATTATGATACTGACGATCACTACTGGCGCAGACAAAGCTGTTTCCCTGCCTCCAACCCTCTGCCTTTTCACCACCTCGCTTGGAAATTAATATTCATCACGAGAATATGCTTCCAGTGACGTTATCACGCTCGGTGACACAGGGACATTTCAACCTGACCATGCTCTGAGGACATAACAAATAAGAAACAGTATTTGGTATGAGAAAATTCACTGATCCTCAAAGATCTGCTGCCAAACTTGGAAAATCCCATTTTGATCCCTGCATGTCAGCTCTGCAGCTATGTAAACAACAACAAAAGCTAGCCTTTTATTAGCAGCAGTTAAAGAAATTGAAATGAATGCAGCAATCCCAGCTGCTTTTGTATTTTCCTGCCCTATTATATCTTCTGATATCAGAGTCCAAAGCTCTGATTTACTGTTCCAAGGCTTCTGGCAATTACTGACTGCGCTGTGCTTCTGAGCACCTGCAGTTGCCACTTAGTAAACACCATGAGCAGCGTTATGATAACAAATAAAGCACGGGCTGCTCAGAACAGCTGCCAGGAAAGATGAAGGGACTCGCCCTCTTTGACCAGACCCAGTTGCTTTAGCAGGGACATTTCTAAACACGATCTGCAGGGCAGGAGAGGCTCCCTTCCTCGGCTGCAGCCGATACCCAATGCCAACAGCTGCTATGCCAAATGCTGGAGAACTGGGATGTTTAAGAAATGACAATCTGGAAAAACAGTCATTCACAGAGAATCGCTGGTGCATTATTCATCTGACCCACAAACAACGCCTCACAGGCAGCTCGTTGTTAAGAAATCATTCTGCAGAATCTGAGGCTCAATTGTAGACGTTTCCTTCACCGTTTCTCACTCAGGGGGAAGGGAGAGAGGAGCTGGGTGACCAACATCCCATTCTTCAAACGCGTGAGACGTGAGCAGCACAACACTCCATACAAGGAATGTTTCACCTGCTTACGCAGCCAACCCTGCTGATTCCACGGAAAGCCAGGGCATCTATTTCTTTGGGTGCTATGGTCCTGCTGCGATGAACAGTAACCCTTTAGCAGACACTAAGATGGGAAAACAGCTATTCAGTTGTGTGCAAAGTGTGCCTGTACCGTACCACAAGTGAGGAAAGAGCTCTGCATGCTCCCCTCGGGTCTTTCAGGTTCAGAACTGCCAAAGCAAAGCAAGTTTTCAGCACCCAATTAAGTGAAGTGTTTAAACAGCACCCACTTCGACAGAGATGGCAGGCGCTGAACAATTAACACCAGCTTTGTGCACTGTGTATACAAACCTCCTTGGACTGATTGGCCTTCGCTATGGCATCCTGCGTCAAGCGCTCTTGAACCAAGATGCGAATCGCCTAGGAAAAAAAAACATTTAAAGGC